TCTATGGCTCTCTTATATAAAAATGTTTCTATAGGATGGTTCTATGGTTTTGGATAGCACGAACTGCACATTTTTATAGATAATTCCTACCACCCAAAATGACACGATGCTATTCTGTGACAAATTCCAAAAGACGAATTGTCCTAGTGCTTCTAGGAATGCCAGAAGCACTGCAACAAACATACACTTTCCAACGGATGTTATTTTCAAAGTGACTCAAAGTGATTATATTTTCTTACAAATATAAATGGTAATAATTTTTTACATTTCCAACAGACGCATAATATAGGCCTTTTCTGCAAGTATTTTGTATGTAAGATTTACGAGTACAGTCAATGATACTCATTAATGATGATGAAAAAATTGTTTGTTTGCACTTAATAAAATAAGTGCTACCATATGAGCAGGTGTTTTATGAAAAAAAAAGTGAGACACAAAAACCAAATGCAATTATAATAAGCTTTATTTTTAACTAGAAAATTATAAGCGTACGAATCAACGCATGCCGGCTTCTCGACAAAAGCGGTTGATTCATTTTAACAATTTATTGCATATTACACGTTTTCACGTTGTTTCTTTCACAACGTGTAAGTCCTGTCATTTTGATTTAGGAGAATATCAATACAAAATTTTTACAAAAACGTTTTAGCCATTTCATCGTCTGTTTTTTTTTAATCGGCAGGCAATGATTGCAACCACACAAATAGGAATAAAGCTCTCTAAAAAATCACAAGGCTCTCTTACCACAGGAAGAAAATTCCACAGAAAATTAGAATCTGACAACACTCTCCCAATGACGTCACATGAGATGATTGGAAATGAATGTTATGTATAGTCAATATAGAATCACTGGGGTTCTTCATAACACAAAAACAGTTTGGCAAAACATGAAGCTATGGATATTTATTTCATTTTGTATTCTTTTCCTTTATTTTTTTCAAGGTAAATGTTCTACAAACTTAACAAATACAGGTATGGAAGAATACGAAAGTTCATGAAGCTGTTTCAAAACGAATCAGGCTTTTTACTGCATTCATAAATTGATGAACAGTTAGGGACTCATCCTTTTTTGGAAATGTTGGTTTACAAATTACTTTGATATTGGTTAATTTATTCTTTTAAAAAGATGTTTTCATGTTAATTTTTTGCAAAAATAAAGGAAATCCGTATTTTATGCATATTCTGTGTCAAATGCAGTAGTTCAAACGCATAGGGAAGCACTGGAGGAAGTAAGAGTAATAAAACAAGAAGCTGATGAAGTTTCGTCTATCACAAACTCACATGCACATGCAATGGATGATTGTTGACTTTATTCAGAAGATCGAACACATGACTCTTTCATAATATTTTAAAAGGAAGAAGGGAAAACCATTAGTTGGTGTAATAGCAAGTTTTTATGACTAATAGTGAACTTTATGTCGAAATATTATATTTGTGTCTCTGTTTTGTTGAATGCACTGTATTATATGTTTTGTTTAATTTTAATATATAGAATGCATTGTTCAAGCTAAATACTGGGCTGTTTTTCTTGTTCAGACAATAGCATAACAAACTAATCTGTATTTATTATGTTTTCAAGCAACTGTACCATCTACTTGTACTTAATCACAGTAATAGAGAAATGAATACAGCCGACGCTTATTATAACGACCCCTCGCGTTCTAAAAAAATTATTATAACGAAAATGAATTAAATATACTCTCATAATTCTGAAACTTTGTGCACCGGTTGTTGTAATGGAATGGTTGCTATAGTGCGAAATCATTACAATAAGCGTCGACTATATTACAAATGGCACTTAATAATACGTAAAATAAATAATAGACGCTCTGTGTTTTTTAAGGTTATTTTATGTAGGTTTTATGTGAACAAATTTATGCTTCAAAAATGGCAACAAATATTTTTAAAATGCTAATATTCCTTATTATCTTTACAATGTTACTTTATTGTAAAAAAATATTTTAAAATAAAGCTTGTTTTAGGAAATGTGTAAAGAAACCGAAGGAATGGAATCATTTTTATATTGTGAAATTATTAATTTGTAAACTTTGCCAAAAAGGAAAAACATTGTGTAATTTTGACATTTTTTAACCGCAATATTTTTTACAGTTGCAATTAATTCCTTTACTATTTATACATAACTATACTATTTACATTCATTCTCAAATTTATGTCTATGACATTTTGTACTTCTTCACTTTTTAGTAATATTTTGTGAAAATGTTAGTCAACAACAAAAGAAAATAGGGGAGAATATCTATTGACGAAAAATACCTCACAAGTTCCGTTAGAAATTTCACCTAACAAAATATTCTTTTGAATATGGCTATGGAAGTTTTACAATTACAAAGCAAATATTTTATTCAGTTCTGTTTATTTTACTTAAAATTAATCATCTACGCTTTGTGGGTACTTTTCCGTTTTGCCGGCGCAAGCGATAAAGTCGCTAATAATGGTGCAACCGATGCCAAACGGAATATTCTCGCTGGTAACCTTTTACGCCTCATTTTCAAAACAAGTCGCAGCTTTTTCTTATCAGATTGATTGTTTCTTTCAATACTGACATATAATTACATAGAATTTTTATCAGATAGTTCAGTTTTATGTTGTATGTTTATGTTATTTATCAGATGTTCAGTCATTTTCGATATTTAAGTCAATTAGGATGCAATCACAGCGCTTACCCGAAGCCGAAAATATAGAAAAGGTAAAGTCAAGAGTTAAATTCATCAATTCTAATGAGAATGCATTAGCGAAGTAAAGTACTGCAGTTTTACATAATTTCTGAGTAAGCTATTCGTACGAATTGAAATATTTCTTGCATTTAAACTTGTGTTCCAAATTAAGATTTAACTTGAAATTAATGTAGATAATTACTGAGAGCATTAGATTTTTGTAGAGAGTAGTTTACGTGAGATGAGATCGCTTGGGGTTACGTGATATGAACCGGCGAATCAGGATGCTGAACCATGAAAGCGTAGTAAATTCTTAAATTAATGTCTTTTTACAAATTTATTGTCTTTATTTATCGGTTTTTATAAAATTTTAAGCGATATTAAAATGTTTATGCCTTTAAAAAAAGAATTCTTAAAACTAACATTTTTTTAAATATTTTTTATGTGTATACTGTATGTTGTCGCCAATAACGTCTGCTTGGCGAGATTTGCGCCGGCGAAACGGAAAAGTACCATATTTTTTTTAATATGGCTATGGAAGTTTTACAATTACAAAGCAAATATTTTATTCAGTTCTGTTTATTTTACTTAAAATTAATCATCTACGCTTTGTAAACGGAAGATAAACCTTGCTGTTCGACATGATTCATAGAAAATGGCTCAGACCTTCTCGGATAAAAGCACATGACTCAAGGAGGTCTGAATTCTATGTCAAAACAACAAGGAGTGAAACATTGCACTGGTTCCGCGTAGTTAAGCTTACTCTCGTTAAAATTGAAAGAAGAAGAAAGGAATAAACAAAAAAAGTTAGCTATCAAAGAAGGAAGCTTCCGTTTCCTCAAAAGAAGAAAGATTTACAAACGTAATTTCATAGTTCTCTGACATTTGCAATGCGTCTAAAAATTTATAGGACTGAATTCATAAAAATATAATAGTTGAAAGAAAATTTCTGTTTTGTTCTTCTTTCTTTCTAATGCTATAAATTTCTTTATATATTCAAGGAATTCTGGATGTTTCGTAGAAATTAATCGTGAGAAAGTTCTTCTATTATGCTCCTACTTTTTTTTTTTAATTTTTAATATTGTTAAAGCGGTGCCTTTTCTGTAAGATTTCACTTCAGAAAATACAAAGACCACAAGATGTGAAATCTGGTAAGTAAGGAGGGTGATTAATAAAAGTCACATTCTTCTTGGCAATCAAAGGTTTCGTGAAAACTATATTACACGCATAAATAATAAGTACAATAAAGACTTTTCATCTCTAACACTATCAATTCTTTTCAGGAATCACGGCTACTGCATCTTTCTGCCGTCATCCCCTTCAAACATTCCTCATTAATTTTTTTCTGTTAACAGAAAATTCATCTTTTCTTTACTTAAAATTTCACATGCTTTGAATAATATTCTCTCACAAACATAAATGGGTATCATTTTGCCTCTTGATTAAAAGTAATATACTAATTTTCATTACTACTAATATTTTTTAATATTCGGTTATAAGGTCTGCATTTAAATAAAACCTTTAAAAAATTAAAATAAAGCCATTTTCAAACTTTTAATGCTTTTCGGTTTTCAGCCTTTGAATGGTAATAACAGATACCGGCGCCATAAATCGAAACAGAGATTTATATTTAATTTCTTATCTTAAGGAGTTAATATATCAAAGAAAAAAATGGGCCATGTTAATAATCAATGCTGCTGGTTACTATCTGGCCAACCACAAGTGATTTGAAAAATGCAATCCCAAAACATTTTAGACGCACTGCGCATGCTAATGCTTCGTATTTGAGCGAAAGATGTGTAATTTCTCCATTGTGCAGTTAAATATGCTGCTCTGTCAAGCCAATACACGAAATGTTAAAAGAGCCGGATAAGATATTCTTTTCACTGAACAGTAACTTTTAAAAGAAAATTTACATTATCCATTAGTAGAAGTCTTTTTGTAGTATCAGCTTTACTATGTCAGTGTGTACTTTTCTGATACGAACAGTGTATATAGTGTGTTTTATTTGTAGTATCAGTTTTACTATGTTAGTGTGTTTTTCAGTATTATAGTAATATATTGCATAATATGTTGTAATGTGCGGAATTATAGTAAGTGTATAATAGTAAGTCAGTGTGATGTATAACTGCAGGCTTGAAATTCCAATGTTAGTCTTAAATTTTACTGTTTTTGTTTTACCTTTACCAGTTTTGTATCAATGCAGCTTTGTACTTCTAAGTATTTTTTTTATTTATTATTTTTTTTGTAACCTATACTATCAGGAATGTCATATGTATTCAAAGTAGTCCTTTGTATTCCCTATCTAGATGTGACTCTGTCCTCTTTTTTTTTTTTTTTTTTTTTTTAAATTTAGACTTAATAAATGTCTGCAGGGCGGGCATCATACTGCAAGGGCTTGTTCCCGGTCAGTAGTCCTCCTTAGCAGTGTAAAAGTAAAAAAAAGTAGAAGTCTTTTGATAATATCCAAGAAGCACTGCTTAAATTATATCTATTGCAATAATCTAATTCCTGCAGAAAACGCTCAAAAATATCTATGTCTTTTCTTAAAATAATCATGTAAAATGGTACTATTTTAAAAATGTGTTTATCATTACAAATTTTTAAAAACATATATGTAAAATTAATTTTTCGCAAAATAAATTATTTTTTAAATGCGGTTTAGGATTCAAATTACGAATAAATTCGAATTCGAAATCTTTTTCTACAATAAAACAGTGTAAAGGTATGTACATATGTAATTAATTTTATTCGTGAAGCAGTATAACTATCAGTTAAGTTTAACTTGAGGTCATCTTGTTATTTTGTGTTGAGAAAATGACGATACACCAGTTAAATGTACTGAAGTATCTAGAATTAAAATAGAAGTAGGCATTGAAGTATCTTTAAGTAGAGACTAAAGCAAAGATTCCTTAAACCACATTTTTATAAAATTAATCTGGAAACTATTAATTGCTGTAAATAATTAAAATAAAGTTAACTGATAATTAGAGAACATAACTAATTTAAAGATAGGTGTGGTACTACTTCAGAGACACTGATTTCTATAGTAAAGTAAAATGTTTCGTGTAAATTATTAATGCAAGGTGTGCAGTACATTCATATTGTAGTACATTTCGCTCTAAAATTTATTTTAAAACATAATATCTTATTATTATTATAAAATTTGGAATATTAATTCACAAAATATATGGATTTATTTACTATAGATTAACACTGTTATCAGTATCAAACAAATAATATTTAACGAATGTTATATATACAAAAATTATTTTTTCTGAAATTAGTTTCATCTAGGTCTGGATACTTCTTAGTTTTAAATACAAATATTTTAGAATGTTATGGTTAAATTTCGGTTAGAAACAGATGTCTGTCGCGATTTGTTACCATTTTTGTATTATAACACGATAATGTTTAGCTGCTGTTTTATTAGAAAACAGTGAATGTAAGAAAGTATCTTTGAAATATGGCATTAAAATTAGAATAGTAGTATTTTCTTATTTCGTCTGGTGGCGAAAAAGAGGAATTTCGAATTCGTGAACAACTTTTGAGTTTTACATCTTTCTAAATATAGTTTCTAAATGTTCCCCTGAACCCTTGCATCATGATATAACCACATAAATCATATACATGATCAAACGAATGAGTTTTTTTATATCATTAGAAAAAGGATTTCAATTAATATATCTCAATATACAACCTATCTTCTTAACAACACTTACACACATATAGAATGCTTGTAATACATTACCCGAGAATATTTTTTTGACAATTGACAGTTGACACTTTGTTCTAACTTAAGAAATGAATCAGAAATAAGGCAAATTTTCAGGCTTCGACAGATTAAGTTACGTAACACGTTTTAGCAAAAATATACAAAACATTTTTAATTAGTTAAACTTTTTAAATTTTTAAACAAAAATATACGAATTTTTTTAAAATCTGAACAGAAAGTAAGATGCTTTTTTAATTGCTAAATATTTAAGAGGAGGAATTTTGTAATAATTTTAAAGTTTGTGTAAAACATATCTAAACTAAATATTTCTTGATACAGGAACATCATGTTTCTGTTGTAATGTCTGTCTCACGTAAAAGCCAACTTTTAGAAATTTTACTCGAAATTTGAACCGTATAGTTAGCTATTTTAGCCATATTTGTATAACACTTAATATTTTTAATTAATGATATCTTTGGAAATTTTTCTTATAAGAAAATAACCCCTCAGCGGGTTGATTAACTGGTTAGGAAAAACACTTTAATGTTTGTTGTTTTCAGTAAGCGGATATTATGTCCTGTAAAAATAAAAGTACTAACATTTGTGGTCCTGTAAATATAAAAGTCCCGACCTATGTTGCAATCTTATTAGGTAACGAAAACGTAAAATAAAGTTACAACTATGTCTTGAATAATTAAGGGAATTTCTTTATTAAATAAGAGAAGGAGTGTCCGTGTGGCATTAATTTACGCTAAGTAATAATACAGCAAAACGTTTGCCTACCGTTAGACTTTGCTATTTTAAACGGTTCATTTTAAAACCTATAAGTACACATCGGTCAAATTGACCGATGGGCATTTTTACATTCTGATTTTGGCAACACGGATTGAGCAAAGGAACTGAGGGAGTTTGTGAACTTAACATTACACCACTATGTAATATATGAATGTTTGGTAAGAACAAGTTTTCTGCTTTTGTAAAAATTTCAAAATTGTAATACATTTATTATCAATCATGTTTAGAAATCTTTGTTTGTTAATTTAAATGTTCTACAATATTTTTTGGTCTTACGATGTTTTTTAAATAGTAAAATAGGTAAAAAAAAACATTTAAAATGCATACACGCTTTAAAAATGTAATTTTGCGTTGTAATGAACATGTGTTCAATATAAGATTTTATATTCTGCTTCTTTAACTGATAGGAAACTGATTCTTTAACTACAGCAACCACTTAGTTTTAAATTGTTTCAGATGTTAAACTGAAATCTGTATACAAAGATCAAACTGCGTTTTCTCTTTAATGTAATGATTTTTATATTTTTCAATATTTTTCAATGTCTGAAACTTTAACGACGAATTCTTCGAAGTGTCAAACTATAATCTGAACCTTATCGCAATGTATTCCCCTAAATGATTTATTTCTCAATGATTCTTCAAAATTTAATTTCTTTATTTATTTACTTAAAGCTATCACATGATAAAAAAAAAATTGCCACAGAATGAAAGCTTGCCTTACTTGACTCATTCCTTAAGCGAGAAACAAGAGTCTATGACTAATGATCAGTAACTATGGTGCGTGGATTTTTTTTAACCGTGTGTATATAACTTATACTTGTTTAAATTATGCATTAAAGAGATAATTCAAAATTGTCTCACGGAGAATCTTGCAACTAAATTTTAATCAGAAGAGCATTACAAAATTTGGTGTTCTTTTTGTCTGATCTACTTTCAGCTCCATAATTTAGGCATGAGATAAGAGTTCTTTTTTACAGTAGCCCATGCAATTAATTGTTTTGAAACTGTATTATTTTTTTAAAAAATCTTACTGTTAAAATTATTTCCAAATTACAACCAACCAGAAACAATAACAGTAAAGTGTGAATCAATACTAAACAAATGTTCGAAGGTAACCTCATAATAAATTTATTTTTCCTTATGTTAAGGTGACAGTGTCCTATAATAATGCATTTTAGTTCGATATACTATAAACTAAGGAACTCATAGTCTGGGCCATCATACCAAATTGGTTTTCCCTAGCATTTCTGAAAGAGTGATGTGTCTCGCAGAAGCATCGAACGTTCTTGTATCTTGAATCTCGTTTCCGATTGTCACAAAAACCCACGGTTATTGTTTAATTGTGTGTGATTTCGTCGGCTGAGCATTGGGGCATGACGGGAAGGTTTCAGTACGTTCCATATTGCCACAATTCCTTCGTGATGTCAAGGTTCCAGACGATTGGGACAGTCCTGATAAAGAGAAAACAAAACAAAAACACAAAATAAGAAACCGGAACAGAACAAAAGAATAAATGACAAAACAAATTTTTAAACGGTTTTACAAAATAAATCATGCAGTAACGGTGTTATGCAAATCATTCTTATTAAAGATTATTTCTCATTTCCCTCCACCTTTAAAAAATCCTTTTCTTATAAAAGATAATAGTAATAATGATAATTTGATAACTAATAATAAATCTCGTCTCATAGACACACTCATCGCCCCCACCGAAAAAAAAATGTTGCACCCATAAAGGAGAAATTTACTTGAAATGTAATTAAATATTATACGAATTCATCACTATTAAACATGGGAATGATTCAAATTTCACTTTCATTCACGCAGATAATATCATCAAGAGATAGATCCTGCCATAATTTAAAAGATCGTCCTCTCATATGCACAATTTTTATTTCGACTAATGTTGTATCACTTTAAAGCAGTGATGGGTGAATATCTTTGGAAATGCGCCAAGAAAAAAAATAATTTAGTGAGCCAATATAATTTATTTTAAAACTTTAAAAAAAAGTATGCAAATAATGCAGTACAAATAATAATGTGATGAATGCAAGTGCATTTTTAAAAGTTCCTTAAATTCCGGTTCGAATTGCGATGTGCTGATTCTGAAAAGTGATGCTAAATGCTCATCTGTCAACCTACTTCTGATAGAATTCTTAAGGTCCACGGTACAAAACACTTTTTCACATGTATAAGATGAATCAAACATAGCACTAACTTTCTGGGCGTGAGATATTAAATTTGTAAAACTTTCTCTGGATAACGGTTTGTAAAACTAATAATTTTGGAACACTGAGAAACAACTACTTGAGATAAGTAAGTGAATCGATTCAAGCTGCAAATCCAGCCTCACTGCTTCAGAATTTACGCTGAAAGGCATGGTGGAAATATCCAGTTGTGTTTGAATGGCATTTAAATATTGAAATATGCGTTCAAATTCAAAATATTTTCTCAGCCATCTTCATAACTCTTAAGCTTGTCTTCATTTACTGCAAGTTTGGAATTTAACCTCGGGAAATGAGACAAGTTGTTCTTAGACACCTGCACAGCAAACATAACAAGTTTTAGTTTCAAACTTTCGAGATATGCCCAGATATCGTCAATAAATATGTTTTTTCCCTGCACCTTGACATTTAAGTTGTTCGCATGACAAAGAAGATCCGTGAAAAATGCAGAGTCCGAAAACTATGCAGTATCTTCCAGCATTTCAAAATCTCCAGAACACTGTTTCTCATGGAAGATTGAAACAATTTCGCCTTTCAACTGGCAAACTCACTCAATAACATATCCAGCACTAAGCCATCTTACTTTCGTGTAATACAGCACACCTTAGCATACGAAAAAGATTGGAGTTACAGAAATCTCGAATTGGCCCGAGAGTAAGTCCACGAGATCGAGTAGTATTTACAAGGTCTCATGGTTATATCAAGCAAAGGTATCATATTCAATGCAGATTTACGTAGGATATCTTAATGCATAACGGAATATAGAAAGACAAAACTGTTTAAAGAGTTCAAGAAATCTAGATTTTTTCCCCTATCAGACTGAGTGCTCCTTCGGTGGCAGTATTACATATGCTCGTTATAAGTACTTTTAAAGGTTGAAAGTCCTTTAGAAATCATCCCACCCCGTGTAGTTGCCTTTAAGAGGGCATGATGCTAGTTCCTCGGTAATTTCAAAGTCCTCATTAACACCCTTTTTTGAATAATACTAGTGGAGCAGCATCATTTATATCATCCACAGCTAAGGAGCAGAATTTAAATTGGCCGATCTTACCCTGTCTTGTCAGACTTTTATTGATGGCTTCGGCACTAGAAGTCATTCGTTTATCGAAATAAGATTACAATATCAAAGTCCATTTTCTTGTCTGGACATAAAACATCACAGACTTTGAGCATGCATTGCTTAACGAACTCCTCATTGCTCAAAACTTTAGCTTACCTATGCTGTATAGTAATACAGTAATATTCAATACATATTATTAGTATATATTGTATAGAAATATATTGCATAGTATTGTATAGTAACACAGTAAATGCGTAAATACAATTTTTCAATTTGAGGTGGGGCCGGATAGAGCCTTCAGATGGACCCGCGGATATAGTTTCCATATCCTTGCGTTAAAGTAACAGTGTCGCTGATACAGATTCGGTAACAATCTGAACAGCTGGACGCGAATGAATATAATACTAAATAAGGATTCCCAATTTAAAAATTTAAACGGGGTTTCTACGAAAATAATTATGAATACGAAAGTAACCGTTTCAATTCTAAAACATGTTTTGGTTAGTTTGGTTGATTATGGCAAAGCACATAAAGGGAGGGGTGCCTTCGTGGAGGACTTTCTAAGGAAACCCAACTCATATACATATTACACAGGCAAAAAAAACGAAAGAAACACCCACGCAACCACCCCGTTCGCTTGGAATCGAGCTCAGGTCGGAACCACCAGTGGTCAGCGATTTTACTGCTCGGCCGCTGGTAAGCATAATTTAGAGTAGGTGTCTAATAATTACAAGACCGTTTTTACCCATTGAGTTTTCAGTGCTAATATGAACTATGCTTCTCCTAAAGTATCCTCATTTTCTATGATACAATAGCTCATGAATGGATCTAAAACCGAGAAAATTTAACCTATTTTTCCAATGTCTTTCAGACGCAAGGATCATTTTTCATTTAATATGCACCCCTAACATTTAGTGTATGTGTGTGAGAGAGAGAGAGATTTGAAGTTCATTAACTAAAAATTATTAAAAATAAATACAGTCTTCTTGAATTCAGATATATTTGATTGAAATGAATCGATTAATTGGCAATGACAGAACGCGCGAAAACTATCAGCCTAAAGAGAAGGATGTTTTTGATGAAGACTTTTCTAATATAAGTAGATAGTTAATTGTATTTAGTAAAGAAGTTTTGTTCACTAGTATATTCTGAACTTACCTCAAGTAGCCAGATACATCGCTGTGTAAGTAGCGGTAAGTAGATTCAAACTCATGAGAATTATTTTGTTTAATTAGCCATCTCATTGGGAAATTTCTAGAAGTGTTGAAATTAGATTTCGACTTTTATCACTATGTGTGAAACATTATACACTGCGCTCAGTTTCGGCGAACTGTAGCAGGATTTTGAATTGTAAATTAATTTTGCGCTGTATACTTAAAAATCGTAAATCTTGATATATATATATATATATATATATATATTTGGTTTTAACTAGTTAGGTAGTTTGTTCTTACTTCTATTAGTATTTTCTATGTGTGTGATAAAGTACCAGAAACTGAATAGCCCACTCTGTTAGTTCAGTGAAATGGTAAAATAAATAAAACTAAGTTTTTATTGGTAAACTGTGCATTTTTTGCATTAAGTTAAGGTTTTTATGCCTTAAGTTAATCAACATGCAGTGGTTGTATAATTATCAACAATTTTAAAGTTTAAGTGGTGCTAACCCTAACCAGGCCGCCATTTGTTTACATTTGAAAATTTTAGAAGAAATAATGAATTAAGTCAGTTTTGTGCACCAACACCAACTTCAGTCTTTCTGCCGAGTGGGACCAAAAGTATAAACATTGGAAATGGGCTATTATTTTCGTTTTGGAATTTTGCATTGAAAACTTTGAATGCCCGTTTCACTTTTCAAATTTTTGCCACCAAATATTATCGTCATGTATTATATTTAAAGAAATCAAATAATGAAGAATCTGCGTGAATGTATGCATGTTTCTCGCATTGGGATAAAATTTAGAGTCATCTAGAGCCATCAAATTTTGAATAATGTGATCCTCCACCAAATATGGGCATCTGAAACACTAATTAAAAATTTGTTTTATTATCGATTTCAAATTTTGTTACACATTAAAGAATTTTTGATTAACAAACTCAAAGATTTCAAAGCGAGCAATGGCAACACTGTATGGGAAAAAAATTATCTCCAGTACGCGAGACTGTGTATCGGAAATTCTAAAGCTATGCTCTTTTAAATATTTTGTGATATTGCTGTTGAATTGAATTTTATAGTTTAAGTGCGAAGAACATGATAGTTAATAAGATAACACACAAAACATTAAAAAACGCTCATTTGAGCGTAATATAAAATCTGAAAGCTTTCGGAATTCTTTTTTTTTTTAGGGGGGCATACTTTATACCATGCATAATAGTACGAAGTAGTTTATGCCCGTTTTGTCTCAGAAAGACGCTGTAACACCGTCCCTCTATAGGCAGATTGTCAAATTTTTGCTTTAAATAATAAATCTACAGTTTTAAGATCTACGAATTCAAGATAAAATGTTAATGCAGATATGTTCTTTCTCTATTTTTCTTGCCTCTAACTATAAATAAAACTAAACAATTTTCTTCGAGTATGTCGGTAAACATTTTGCAGCTGCAAAATTTCAGAGCGAGACTTAAAAAGTTAAATTCTTGCGTAACTTGCAAACAGCCTGCTTTTCTTAATTAGCTTTTCAATTTATCATTCTGTAACTATGAACAGACGGTATGAATTTATCTTCTTCACATAAAACTGGAGCTCTTTACAAAAATAACTTCCCTCGTGTAATGAAGGTCTCTAAATTAAATTTTCGAAGGCGTTTTTGCTAACATATTTCTATGCAGTATCTTTATTCTTAAAACTCTTTTTTTTTTTCTCTCGCGAAAGAGAGGCGAAGACATTTTAGAGTTTTATTATTAAGACGGATATTTTTCTAAAAATATTCCTTTTTATTTTATGTTTCATATATCACACTTCTATTCCATTATTCAACAAAATGTTTTAAAGCAAATGAATTATTCTTAAAGTGAATCATTTCAAACATCCCTGCTGTTTGTTTATTTCACACTGTTTAATATGGTAATAAGCATTGACTGCAAATAATTTGAAATGTCCTTCTTAATAATTTGTTTATATTAAATTTAATTTTTAATTATTTAACAGTGATTTGAAAAGATAAAGCAA